CATTGATCTATTGTCCAATACCTTCTTTCACGACACCATTTTAGTCTCCTTTGTTTATCATATGGACGCAGAAGCGGCTTCTTCAAAGCAGTGTAGACTCCAATCTTGTATTTGATAAGTATTCGTCGGACTGTGCTTTGAGAAATAGATGTATTTCCCGTTGTATTGAATTCTGTGGTCAATTCTTTGTAACTAATTCTTGGATTAGCTCTGACAGCTCCAAAAAGAACACTATCGTCTTTTCTTGTGGTTGACAAAGGTCTACCTGGCCTCGTTTTCTCTCTGGCACCACCAGTGTGAAGAAAGTTTTGTTTCGTTGTCCGAACGCATTTCTCAGAAACTCCAATTAACTTGGCGATTTCTCTATTACTTTTGGTTCCTTCTTTGATGTGCGCAATAATTTGCCATCTTTCACCTTGAGTGATACGTCTTTTGCCCATTTTTCGCGTCTTTTTAGTGCAAAACTAACTTAACTTTTGTTTATTTATTAAATAATGATTAACTAATTCCAGGTGAGTCATATTTATATAAGGTTTTTTGACAAAATCAATTAATTTAAGCCTATTAATGAGAAATATGAGAAAAAAACTACTAATTAACTATCAATTAACAAGATATAAGACTTTTTTAATAGTGCGTCTAAATTTATGAACAAAATAAAATCAAGTTTATCAATTAACTTTTTTGTGTTAATCGGTATAGAATGAGTAATAAACATCCTGTAAAAAAAAATTTAGGTACTCTATAATAGAGTTTCATTTCCTCTTTTAAATTATATATTAAACATAGCGGTAGCACTTCTATTTTATTTTTATTTTGAGTATTTTCTTACACATATGAAAAAAAAATGAATGCGTCTAAATTTATGAAAGCTACTGTATATATATATATATATATATATATATATATATATATATATATATATATATATATATATATATATATATATCAGGCCTTGCAATGAATAAGAACTGCGCGACGCATAAGCACGACGTGATTTTTGACGTCATTAAATTCTTTTTATTTGCTTTTCATATTTATCGACATTAACTGCACCAATTTACTTTATTACCGCAAAACTACTTTAAATCATTTATGTAGAAATGTTATTATTTAAAAATGTTTTGGAATGTTTCGTTTTTTAAAATGTAAAAACATTTGTTTATTTTCTCGACGTTTGTCACGTTTTGTCTATACTAAACGAATAAAAAACATTATAACTTAAATTTAAAAAAGATTATAAAATATGCTAATATTTAATTTTTTTTTTCTTAAATATGTAATTTAAAGTTTTTCAAATAATTATTTTTTCTTTTTAAAAAGTCAGCGAGTAATAAACTGGAAATTTTAATATTGTACGATTAAAAACTGTGCAAAAGCTAATATTTTTACAAGCAATTTTATATAATATTTATTTATTTTCATGAAGCGGTTGATAAGCACAATCACTCGTATTAATAAAAAACTTAAACGAACGTTTTGAATAGATTTTTAATGTTAACAAGGAATTTTATTTCAAGTAATATAAAATAAAATGTTAGAATAAAAATCTTATAGGTATAAAAGAAATATTTCAGCGAAAAAATTATTCTTAAAAATTATTCGAAAAACTTTTGACGTTTTATTTTTCAGCAGCTGTTCTAGAGTTTCGGTAACTTTTAACATAAAAGCGATCGTTATTATTTAAGTAATTTTTTTGAGTTACTTTTTACAAAAGTTTTAATATCTGTACTTTTTTATTGAATCAAGTAGAATACGTTTTAATATTAATCCTTTTTTTTTATTTTATTTGCGCTCACCAATTTTTAAAATGTTTCCTCGAAATTACTCTTAAATACTTTAAATACGTCTAACAGTTAATAAATATTTTTAAACCTTTTTTTAAAAAACCTAACAAACCCCCGTAAAATAATTAAGTTAAAAATCTAAAATTAAAAGAAAGTATTTTTGTTCAATTTTATCGACAACTTTGCTATTGCTGAATAATTTTATTAAAATGTTAGCTTAAAAGATTTATAATTTTTTTTAATCTGAATTTTTTCAAACTTTTATTTCAACTGCGTGCGGTTTTTAAAATACTTTATTAAATGTTAAAATAATAGTAAATTACTTCATTAAAATTCTGCTCAAAAATATCTTTAAATATACTCAAACAAAAAATTTTTTGCTCGACGCAAATAGCCCTAGCTACACGCAAAATCGCTCTTGGACGACGTAAAATTTACATCGCCCGACGCTTTATCACAAGGCCTGTATATATATATATATATATATATATATATATATATATATATATATATATATATATATATATATATATTCGTATATATATATTCGTATATATATATATATATATATATATATATATATATTCGTATATATATATATATATATATATATATATATATATATATATATATATATATATATATATATATTATTTATGAATGTATTTAAATATTCAATATTTAAATCAAACCGTATTTTTATTCATTCTCTCTTCTTCTTGTAAAACATTTAACATTTGTGCCATATGGTAGGGGATTATTGTGCTTTCAACAGAAATTTTGTTATCTATGATAATACAAAAAACATTTAAAAAAATACAATTATCACGCAGTAGTAAAAAATAAAAAATAAAAATATAAATTTATTCCTTGATAAAATTAATTTTTTGTTTCATAAAAATAAATTTGATATACATTTATGTCGATACTTTTCAAATATTTTTATGATTAAAAGAAAATTATAGTTATATGAAAGAGAGCAACAAATGTGCTATTACCAACTTCTATTTTCTAGTAATAGGGAATATTTTGACCTATACAAAATATTTAGTATTTTTATTATATAAACTTCTTCTAAAATAGATAATTTAGAGATAATTTTTGCTTTTTTTACTAATAAATTATGCACATTTGCATACTGTGTAGGCATTCTTTGTACTTACAGTCTGAGTTTTCTCATTCGATATACTCTTAGCTTTATATCTTATTCAAAAAAATTTGATAAATATCAAAAGTATGCAGTTGTGCCTCCTGTGCATCTATGCGAGTCCACCTTAGAGGACAGTTTTTAGAAAGAATACAGTTTTATAGCTTGCTTATTGGGTTATGTTGATACCAAAAATGGTTTTCACTTAATGAAATAATGCTGATAACGCATATCTTTAACACTAAAATCAATATCAGAAATGTAAGAGAACACTTATATATATTCTGAGAAATTGTACATAATAATATTATATTTACATCATATTTTTCCAGACCTTTTTTTTTGAGGATTAAGTTGAACAAATGAACAAAATAGTTTTGTTGCAATTTAAAACAAAATGCTTTTATTTTTTTGGAAGCGCTTTTTTGTGGGTTAGCCAATACTTTTGCGGGCACCTGGGCAGTGTGAAAAGACTTAGAGGCAAAAGCGCTGGCTAAATGGAGAAGACTGATATATATATATATATATATATATATATATATATATATATATATATATATATATATATATATATATATATATATATATATATATATATATATATATATATATATATATATATATATATATATATATATATATATATATATATTAATATATACATAAAACATATTAATATATATACATAATATGATCTAACAACCCTAATCAAATATCATAAAAATGTACTTTTTACAATAGAAAATTTTACTAAAAAAAGTTTACTAAGTTAACTTTAGAGTTTTAATTTTTTAATTTAACAAATTTTGTTTTTGATAATATAAAAATAAATGCTCAATTTAAAACATTAGAGTTCACTTAAGGATAGTAAATGAATATCATCAAATAAATGAATATCAGCAAATATTATGATGCAGAAAACTTAAATACATTTAATTTCTATTCATTATTTTTTTCATCAAAATAATAGAAATATAAGTAAAATATTAAAACCTACTATCAGTGTCAACCAAATACTGTGTAATGCATTTCCAATGATACTTAAACTGTTCTAATATACTCACTTCAGGTGACAACTAAAACAAAATAAAAATCTATACTACAAAATACCATCTATACTAAATAAAAAAAAAAAGAGTAAATGTGTTAAAAACAATGTACCAAGTAAAATTTGCCATTATATTTGTTAATTTAAAAATAAAAAATAAAAATAAAAACTAAATAAGAGGTTAGAACTAATCCTAATATCCATAAAACAAAATCATTCGGTATACTTGTGTACATTTTGATAGTACATTCGTATGATATGATCAGATTTAAATTTTTTTTTTAAACTTAAGTTTATAATAAATATCACTTTTGGCTTAGCTTAGCCATGCATAAAATATCATTAATGGTGTCAAACAAAAAATAGCTATATGTATAGGCTTCAGTACATAAATCAACAGAGAGTTTGGAATTAGACAATCTAGATGTGAAGGATTGTAATAAAAACTATAAAAAATGTTTTTTTCACAACTTCTCCTTTTTTTTTTCTTTGTCTGGAAAACTCTGTTAAGATTATGTTATGAATCATAACTTATTATGATTTTATGTCTTTCTTGAGAAATCTCATAATCAATTGCAGGATACTTTTAAATAAAGTAACAAATTCCTAATAATGATTTTTGTTTTAAGTATTAATGAAAGTTACATATAATTTTTTTATTTATTCAAGGGGCTTGGCGATAAGACTGAATTTGTCTTCTTCTTGCCCCGGCCGTATATATACAGTTTTTAAAGTCTAATTTTGTAAATATTTTCTTTATGGTGAAATATATATATTATATTAAAAAAATAAAAATAAAAAAAATAAGTATGCATTTTTTACAATAAAAATTATTTTTTTAAACTTTATATAAATCATTAAAGTTAATACACTCAAAATGATAAAAAATTCCATGAAAAGAAAAATTAAAAAATATTTTTGAAAACCGTTAAAATTAAATAACTTATGAAAATTTGAATTTTAATATTGCTTAAGTGTTAAAATTAAATCATTTGAATGGCGCTGAACAATGGTGTAAATGTGGATACTGTCACTTGAAAATGAATGTCTTTATTGTGTTGAAATAAAGACAATAAATATCTCCACAGGTATTACAAATTAAGTAACATTTTTTAAAATATAAACTAATGTTAACGATATTAAAAAAAATTGACTATCACAAGTTTTCCATTAAATGATTTCAATTTTTAACTTAATCAATAATGCTACACTTTTAAAACAGCATTTCATTAAGGCATACAGCTTTTTAGGGTAAATAATTGAAAAATGCTTGTTTATACCTGAGATATGAATGTTTAAATTTTAAGTGACCAAACTTAGGTTACCCAACTTAAGTGACATTTACTTAATTTATTGAATTTAGGTTACCGAAATTAGGCAATTTTACATTAAATAGAAAAAAAGCATTCTATATTTATGTTTAATTAACTAAAAAAATGTAGCGATCATAAACAGTCGTAGTCGTTATGTGTTAAAGTAACTAAAAAATTATCACTTTTGAACTTTTTGCTGTTACATCGCTTTTTTTAGTTTTATGCTACACTTTTGACACTTTTAAAAAGACAACTATTCCCATCATATCCATTAATTTTGTGATGGTTAAGAGATGGTAAATTATTTTGAGTGAATTTTAAAACAGCATTTCATTAAGGCATACAGATTTGCTTTCTGCTAATTTTTTCTTTAAAAACTGCCTTTTCAAGCAAAAAAAAAAAAAAAAAAAAAAGAATTATTATTATTCATAAACTCCCAAACCCAATTGATAAAAATTGAACTCTGTCTAATATTACAGCGCTCAAAATAGTTTTTCAAAGCTTGCCGATCAAATAAAATTTATTCACAAAAACAGGTTATTTTCCATTAAATTTTTCAAGATTTCCTTAAAAATAGCTAATAATTGATCGTTGATCAGCCGTTATTTTGAGCGCTGATATTATACTATTCCGATCATTAGGTGGATTTCAAAAATTTGTCAAAAAGTTTATGTTTAAATTCATCAGTGCAGAAAAAAATAGACAGGATAAATTCGTAACGTAACCTGGTTAAAATTGTGTATGAAATGAACATCATTTTTTTAATATATTAGCAAAACACTCATTACTCAAATTTAACCTGTTTCTTTAACTTCACTATTTGAGGTAAGGTGTGCAAAAATAACTTGCACGAATCTGATTAAACGCAACAAGAATGGTCACACCAGCCAAAAAATAACTAAATGTTGTGCTGACATAGCGTGAGAAAAATGTGCTGAAAACCTCAAACAGTGTACTTTATTTTCTATTCTCAGTGATGGCAATCATGTAAGAAAAACATGCAAAGAAAAAAAACTAGATTTAGTTTTAATAGAAAATAATAACATACCAATTTATATGGTCACTGACCTGTTGGATATGTCACTTTATGGTCGACTATGTTAAAAACACGTTCTATTAACCTTGGACTGAACTAGCTGTACAAGATACATTTAACGAAATTCCTGATTTTACTAAGATGACTTTTTATTGCTAATTACTATTTATTAAGCTAAGTCATAAGTGAAACTAGAAGCTCAAAATACCTTGAGATAACACACTATAATTTACCTAAAATTATTGGAACAAGGTTTATTGAACATTTTCCATTTTGCTAGAAACATGATCAGCTTTTATTATGACTTACCAAAATTATGAAAGTAAGCTGAGAAATACTGAAACTGTAGCAAAAGTAAACAGTTTATTAAATTCAATCAAGTGACATTCTTTTCGTTAGGAAGTTGGCTTGTATCTTGAAAGCTTAGAAGTAATTGTTCCAGCCTCAAAAATATTTGAAAATAATAAGTAATTAACTTTCAACAACTATAAAACAAACTCTATTGGAGATAGATGATAAAATTCAATCAAATGGAAAAGATGAAAAGAATTTATTGACAGCTTTAAAAACTGCTACATGGTCATTGATAAAAGTAATGTAAAAAGTTTATTTGCTAAAACTAATGAGAAACAAAGATACGTAGAAAATTGTACTTATGTCAATGTTATATTAGAAATAAATAATTTTGTTTGTGATAAATTAATCAAAGAAATTCGTCTAATTAAAAAAAAATTTAAAACTATTTTCCTTACTGTTAAGCAGGTTTAATGACAATTCCACAGAATTTTCACTTTATAGAAGCATGGGATTTATCAACCTAATTTATTATATAAATAAAGATTCAGAATCAGGAATGCTGGAAATTAACCATATCAGCGATCATTTTGAAACGCCATTAAAAAATGCTGATTTTCAAAGAGATGTCACATTAAAAGAGTGGAAAAAATTAAAGTAGTTAGTTAAAACTGAGTTCAACAGCCATCCTGTTCACAGTTTATGGAAAATTATATTTTCCAAAAGTATTTTATTGAACTTTGAAATATATGTTTCCCTACATCACTAATAATGTGCATACCTGGGTAAAATCTACAAGTAGAAAGGACACAAAAAATTAATAATTTAAATAATTTGTGTGCTGTTTTTATTTTTGTTTTAGAACGGTTATAATTTTGAGCAACGAAATTCGATAAGTCAAAGCAAAAAAAAAAAACATTTTAAAGTTGACATTAAAAAAAATGATTTTCCTATATTTTATTTTATTTTTATTTTTTTAATTAGGAAAGCAAAAATATAAATTGCAATCAGTTTGTAAAATATATTTGTATAATTTTGATGTAATAAGTATATCCTATAAAAAATTGTCTATGTAATGCATGTATATACTTTTATGTATAACTGCTTTGCCTTATCTAATTTTGTTCTGAAAATAACAACCACTCTAAATAAAATAAATAAAAACAGTACACATTATTTAAATTATTTAAATTATTTAAATAATGTGTACTGTTTTTATTTATTTTATTTAGAGTGGTTGTTATTTTCAGAACAAAATTAGATAAGGCAAAGCAGTTATACATAAAAGTATACACATGCATTACATAGACAATTTTTTATAGGATATACTTATTACATCAAAATTATACAAATATATTTTACAAACTGATTGCAATTTATATTTTTGCTTTCCTAATTAAAAAAATAAAAATAAAATAAAATATAGGAAAATCATTTTTTTTAATGTCAACTTTAAAATGTTTTTTTTTTTTTGCTTTGACTTATCGAATTTCGTTGCTCAAAATTATAACCGTTCTAAAACAAAAATAAAAACAGCACACAAATTAAAATAAATTATTAATTTATTTTTACTTTTTACTATTTAAATTTGATTTTATTTTCTATTTTGTTAGTTTTGCTTTTTTGTTTTTGAAACTTAGTTTTTTCCGCAATGATTAATATAAAACTTTCAAATAGCCGTGACCAAGTTGTCTAAATTAAAATACTCACGTGTGCTGCTCATACAAGATGAAAAACTGCAGGCGTTTCCTGGGAAAGCTTGATATATATTCATTCTTGTGTTACTCGTCATTCAATTAAGTCTCATTCTTTTACTGTGACTGTTTCTAAGTGCTCCAAAAACTCTTATTCATCTAGTTTTTTTCCTTCATCTTGCTTTCCTGATTCATATAATTTGCAATCTTTTAAGTTGTCTGTCAATAGTTATCTTGTTCTGTAAACTTCACCCTTTCTCTTCCAGTAACTTCCAACTCCAATAGTAGTTGTTTGCACCCTTGTTGGAAGCGAAGATGTTAAAAAAAAAAAAAATGTTGGTCACCACCAACATTTTTGAATTACCCATTGCCATTTTTTATTTAAAAAATTTTCATTTAAAAAAAATTCTTTCATAGTTTAGTCATATAGGTTTCAAGTTTTTTCACTTGCTTTTTTTTACAACAACAAAGTCTTCAAAAACATTTCATCAAGCTGATTTCAACAAGTCATCAAAAGTATTTCACAAATACTTTGAAATCCTTTATTTTCATGTGTTGTAATTAAAATGATCTTCTTTGTTACAGATGCCTGAAAACTGTTTAAATTTTTAGCTTAGCTTGATAAAAAGCCAACACTCTCTAAGCAATTAGAGAGTGTTGGCTTTTTATCAAGACAAAATAAATGGTAGTATCATCAGAGAGCAATGCTACCTTAGATTTCTAAAAGATAGTTAATATAAATTAAAAAAATATATAAAGGGCCAAAGATAGCCTTGAGAAACCCCTGAAATTACAGAAAATTAAAAAGAGTGTTGTCCATCGATGACAACTTTTATACTACGATTGGTAAGGAAAGAATCAATAATCTTAAATAACCTATCCTCTTCTATCTAATGTACAATAAAACCTATTAGTTATTACCGTTAACAAATCAGCAGTAGAAAAATATAAGCAAATCCATATTGATGATCAGAAAGAAAGTTTATAGATTCAAGAAAAGAGATAAAGTGTTTGTTAATTGAAGACTGGAAAACTTTGCTTATGATAGGAATTTTTAAAATATAGGAATTACAGATGCCGCTTTCAAACAAGCTGGAAAATAAGTCTCTGATTAGCACTTGTTAAATAGTTTTGAAAATATAGACGACAACTCTGGAGAACACTGCTATCAAAAGTATGTTGTTCAGAACACAAGCTGTAGAAGAGTCTAAGCAGAAAATCACTTTAGATACAGGGTCATTCCATATGGGATCATTGAGAATATAACACCCTTACATCTCAGAATATGTTCATTTTTGCCACACTTGCAGTCCATATTAAAAAAATGATAACTGCAAAAATTTTAGTTAAAAATACACATGGGTTCCAGAGATACCATAAGTTGAAATAATGCTGACTCTTTTATTATTTCATACATTAAAATATCTAGATCAACTCCAAAGCAACTTTGACATATAGTATCTTCATGATGGTTTAGGAAAATGTCCTAAAATTTGGTACCCCAATTGATTTTTACTTGAGGAAAAAAAAATAGCACCCTCAAGACTTGATTTTTTCAGGAAATGTTTTATTTATCCAATTTTGTTCAAAATTATTGACGTAAATTTATGATTTTTGGAGGTAAAATGAAGTCTGTAGCTCAAAATCCCGAGTAAATGTTTAATTGTATATCACTATTTTATTTTAGGTATACTGAAAAAAATTAGATTTCATTTCAAAAGATGAAGATCAATTGTCTTTGATCATTTTAATGTATGAAACAAAAATAAAAAATAAAAAATTCAGACTGACACTTATCGCCGTAAGGTGCAAATGTTAACACTTGCACCAAAATCATGGACACATACAAAGATATCAAGCTACTTTGAAGTGTCTGAGTATCTTGTTTGAACTGCAAGAAAAGTTAAAAATGAGCATGGAATTATATCATAACCTGGAAAAAAAACTGGAAACCCACTTTCACCAGAAACAGTTAATTTAGTGATAAGCTTTTATCAAAAGCTTATCACTAAATTAATTTAAGATTTTCAAGAATTATGCCAGGAAAAAAAGATTTTATAAGTGTTAAAAAAAACTAACATGTTCAAAAAAGTTTATTGCTACTCAATCTTAATGAACTACATGTTGCATTTTTGTTCTTTTGAAAATACAGAATGTATGTTGCATCAATGTAACCAATAACCTGGTATTAAAGCATTAAAAAGTTTTTTAGTGCAGGAGTTTATGGACCATAACCTTAAAGAATTTAGCATTCAAGCAATGGCAGAGTTTTATTTTGTTTATTTTTCATTTAATGATTTATTAAGTTACAAGCATTGACAACCTTAAAGAAAACTGTAAAAAAAATCTTAACCAAAACAAAAGCTTAATTTTAGAAAATTTTGCTGAAAATTATCAATATGTTGTTCAGGGTTCAAAGTTATCACTAGAGCTAAAGTCAATGTTCACTTTATACAATTGTACTTTATTTTATAGAGAAAAAAATTCTCAAACATAAATCTTTTTGTTACCTTTCAGAAGATGTTGATCATGACACAGGATTTATTTACAAGACTATTTAAGGTGGTTGTGCAGCACAATTTAAAAATTTCAAAAACTTTATCAATCTTTGTCATAACAGTAAAGACTTTGATTTAAATGCTGAATGGGTATTTTTTGCTACCACTCATGGTAAATCCCCCTGCTACCAGTCATGGTAAATTGACCAAACACAAGCACAATTTAAAAAAAGATATTTAGATAGAAAAACAGTTCCTGGCACAAGGATGTATCATCACTTTATTCCAATTGCTTCAAACACTTCAAGTTAAAAAAAACAAGTATTGATACATGTATTGAAATATTTGATATCATTCCAAAAAGCAAACATAATAAAGAGATTTCATTAAACATTTAAAAAAATGGATTATATTGTATGTTTTTATGACAGATTTTGGTGGGTAGAGATTGCTAAAGATGTAAGTGAACTTGGTATAAAAGTCAGATTCATACATCCACATGGACCAGATAAAAATTTCTTTAGACCAATTAAAAATGATGAGTGTTGGGTTCTCAATTCTGAAGTTATATGCTTAATTTCTACACCCATAACAATATCAGGTTATATGTACAACATATCTGATTTAGATTTGGAGAGTATAAGCAGTTGGTTACAAAAAAAAAAAAAATTAAATACATTTAAAATAATTTTGTTGTAATTTTATTTACCAATTTTGCATCTACAATTTTTCTTTCTTTTTTTTTTTCAAATCCTTGGATGAAAGGCTGAGAAGGACGGGGTTTAAATAAATCCTACTGTCCACCTTATTATATCAATGACTATATTAGTCTTAAACTACTAAATAATACTATAAAGATATTGATTGTTAAAATATTTTAAAAAACATTTCAACATCTTTGGTTTTAAAATTTATGATTTTTAAAATCGTGAAAAGATTTCAGTTTTGAGTGCTAACTTTGAAATAAGAGGTAAGTATTTATCGATTCAAAATAATGAAAACAAATTGTTTCTCAAGCTTAAACTAAAAAAAATAATGTTTTTAAATTGAATTTTAATAATTATTTATTATTAATTCAATTTATGTATATAAAAAAAAAAATGTTTTTTTCAAATAAATGTTTTAAAAAACATTTCAATTGCTTTTGCTACAAAATTTAAATTTTTCTAAAAAGACACAATTTTTAAACGCAAATTTTGATCAAGTATTAGAGAGACAATTGATGTTTAATTTTTGAAATAAAATCTAATTTTTTTCAGTAGACTTAAGATAAAATATTGATATACAATTAAACTTTTTACTCAGGATTTTTTACACAGTCTTCATTTTACAACCAAAAATCATGAATATACAAGTCAATAATTTTGAACAAAATTGAATGAATTTTCTCCTCAAGTAAAAATCAATTGGGGTACCAAATTTTAGGAAATTTTCCCAAGCCATTATGAAGGTACTATATGTCAAAGTTGCTTTGTAGTTGCTTCAGATAATTACTAAAATGTTGAGTCAGCATTATTTTAACTGATGATACCTCTGGAAACTATGTGCATTTTTAACTAAACCTTTTGCAGTTATTGATTTTTATTGATAAGATTGATGAAAAGATTTTAGCAAATAATTCAGGTTTGTCTTTAGGTGAGGTAACAAAATCTAAACCATGCAAGAGAGGTGGAATAACAGATTTGCCTTTATTATAGACACTGCTAAAGATTTTCAAGAAGTCTCTGGAGCCTAAATTTTGAGATAAAATGCAAGATTTTGAGAATAGCGGGCTTTGCCATTAGATAAAAATTTTTTACAATGGTTTCTAACAATAGCAAACAGATGTCTATTTTCTGGAGAATTGTATTGACAATAGATATGGAAGTTTTGGCTATGTTTGGAAATTGCAGCAGCATAATGAGAAAAATCTGAATCCAAGAAATTACATAAGAAGCATGTTTGTCAGCAAAAAGATTTTTACCCAAGGGCCATCACGAAAAAATCATGGAAAGAGCCCCAGTCAGTTGTAAGAGGTATAATAATAGTGACTCTGCAGGTGTTAACGCCTTAACACGGGCAGAATCACTGACACTAGAAAGTTAAAAAGTCATTATCAAAAAATAATTATCTGAATAAAGTTATGATTTTAAAGAAATTAGGAAAAAATTTAACTTCAGGAGCAAAAAGGTTACTACTTATAGAACCATTGAATTAATAAAAAAAACTAAAACTCCAAAAAAAAATCAATAGGCATTCCTTCAGGCAACTTATTTGCATCAAAAAAATATTTTTAGTCAAAATTTGGTCGTCTGATACTGTTGGGTGAAATTTTCTTAAAAGAACAGAGCAATAATAAATGGATAGAAAATCGCATATCTTATTTTTTTCATTTTTTTATCAAAAAGACTCATCAGAAATGCATTCTGATAAGTCTTTATTAATTAAACTGTGAAAATATTTTACTTAATTTAAAAAAATATAAACTTACTGCATCAACAGCATTATGAAGCATTGACGTAAACCTTGTGAACATTTTCTTAGTTCGTTTCATTAGTATTTAAACATAAATGTAATGCAATGTATTTTATTTTGTATGAGAATCTCCTAACTGATATCAACATACCTAAATTATTACAGTAAAAAAGAAACTATATAAAAGTAAAAAAAAAAAGTTATTGTTTAATTTTTATTTATTGTATCTCAAGGGTCCAATTATTCCGCCTATAAAAGACATTTAAATTTGAAAAATTTAATAAACTATTTAAAACTGAAAAAAACCATTCAGTTACATAAAACTAGAATTTAATCCTGAAAAAAAACTTGAATCTAATCCTAAATAGAAATATATATATATATATATATATATATATATATATATATATATATATATATATTATATATATGTATATATATATATATATATATATATATATATATATATATATATATATATATATATATATATATATATATATATATATATATATATATATTAAGATTATTAAGACAACTCACAAAAAACCAAGCAAGATATAACCTCCTAACAAATAAGATTGTGGCCTTGTGGAATAAGCTGCCGTTTCAAGTCATTGATTCATAAAGTGTAAAGGAATTCAAGAATTAGACAAGTTCATAGTTGCTAAACAGACATCGGCTAAGATCTGCTAGACCTTATATCTGTGTGTATGTTTAATCCAACTCAAAAATAAAAAATTATATTAAACTCCTTCCCAAAATTATGCATAACAGGATGTAGAATTGCTTTTGTTGAATCTTTAGAATGCCTAGGCCATATAGTTAAAAATGACCTAACCGATAATCTTAATATAACCAAGGAGATGAAGGGTCTTGACACAGGTATGAACATTCTAATAAGACGCTTTCATTTATGTTTTACCAGAATAAAGGTTAAATTGTTTAAATCATATTGCATTTGTTTATATGGTGCTCCTCTGTGGCAAAATTATAATGATAAAATAATGGCTACAACAAATGAGCTAAACAAATGTGCTAAAATGCTTTTTGGTTATGACAAGTATACCTCTCAGGCTTTTAGAGCTCAGATTACCATCTTTTAATACAATTATCTTAAACTGCAGACATGCTTTTCTTAATCAGTTGATGCGTTAGTGGTGTATTGGTAAAATGCTCGCTTCATAAGCAAGGTTCTGAGTTTTATCCCACCACATCCCTGGTAGAACCGCGCTCAACTTGTGTATATATATATATATATATATATATATATATATATATATATATATATATATATATATATATATACATATATATATATATATATACAAATTAGTAAAAACAATTATCTAACTTTTTCTTCAATAAATTTTTTCTCCATCGGCAGGTTTATCAGGAAGCTTCCTGATAAACCTGCTAATGGAGATATATGATTTGATATAGATTATATTGATATAGAATATAAATTTTTTTGCAAACCACTAGCAAACATTTTTACCTCATTAAAATCTAAATTACTCCCAAATGACTTAATTTCTTTTGTCTCACCAACCAATAGTAAACACTACTAACTGATTAGATTCTCCACATAATGATGAGGATCTAAGTTAACTGATTTGAAAGATAAAGGAAATAAAGCAATTTGGGAGCAACATTAAAATAACTCCATACAAAGATACAGAAAGATAAAATATTTAAGTTTAAAACTCTTGAGTTGTAATTTTCCCGAATGCTTTGACTTCCTTAACATAAAACATGTTATTTTTAATGGTACTTTTTATACTTTCTTATATAATAGATTAAAACTATATTACATAATGTTGCACTATAACAAAAATAATAACAAGATATTGAATTCCACGAACAAACTTGTTTTAAAACTCCATGATTTAGAATTCCACGATGGAAACATCACTCACATTTGTACTATAATTTTACTTTTATTTGTGCAATACTGTTGCAACATTTAATATAAATTTAAACTATTGTATAAGAAATCATAAAAAACACTATTTAAAATAACATAACTTTATCTTTCGATTGTTCTTGACTTCAACATAATAAAACATCCACCGATGGCATTTATCAATACGCCATATTTACACGATCGATTTAAATTCCATCACTTAAACTACGCACATAAAACAAACGAAAGGGAAAAAAGAATAGCTAACGAAAACTGGTTGAAGAGCAAAGTCTAAAACCTCAAGAAAAAATTTCATTTTGAGCCAATATATTATTTTCATTATAAGCCAATAAAAAATTTCACTATGAGCTAATATATTATTCATCATTTTGGGGCCATTATGCGCCATTTTGGGGATGAACCTTAATATAAAATAAAATATTGGCTCAAAATGAATTTTTTTTTTTTTGAGGTTTTAAACTTTGCACTTCAATCAGTTTTCGTTTACTTCAACTTTTACTTTTACTTCAACTTTTACTTTGCACTTCAACCAGTTTTCTATTTACTGACGCCATGGCGTCAGTAAATAGAAAATTAATAATGTGCTAAAAGGTTTGACAATAACTGACAAAGGAGGTTTTGTGATCAAAATGATGTCAATTTTATAAAAACTTTTTTAAATTTTATATTTACACCACCTATAAGCAGATTTTATAAAATAATAATCATTTAGCATTCAAAAGTTATGACCATTTAAAATTTGTAACCCCCGGAAAATTGAAAGGGATTTAAATTTTATATGGTCATAATTTTTGAACGCTGTGAGATTATACTATGAGATTTAAAATTTATTGATGAATATAACTTTAGTTAAGAATAGTAAAAAAATATTTCATCAACTTATTGATCCCACATTTGTGGCTGGTGTGGCCAAAATTTAGGGCTTTTTCATTCCCAGGCTCCAATCATCGGAATATTTTGCATTGCATCCTTATTTGAACAATTAAAAACCTATAAATGTTTGGAGTTTTTCCCATGTCTGCAAGTAAGATATCTTAAATAACAAAAAAAGCTAGATCTGTCCCTGCCATTAAAAAATTGATGTACGCATCTTTAATTTTTTTTAATGGAGGAGGGGGGTGGTGGAGCGGGTTACATAAACAGACATGGTTTTTAAGGAGGAGGTTGAGCCAAAAATTAACAGCTTGTCAAAGGGGAGAGGAGGTCGAAAAGCCAGAAAAAACTACTGACATCAATAATGGACGTCCCCTTCGGCGAAAACAGTTATTTATGTAACAATGATATACATCTCAAATTATTTATTTTACTTGTTTAGCAGCAATTTCAATTTCATGATTAACCTTTATCTTTAAAATGACAGGAACAGTGTAGTCATTGTTAAAGAGATGAATTAGAGAAAATTTTTTTTGAACAGAGTTTTTCGTTATTCCTGGGAGAGGTAATTGAAACCAGATCAGTGTAAAAGAGATGCAATACTCTATTTGCTTTTGTTAATGATATTGTTAATGATTTTTCGAAAGTTTCTGGAACTTTCTAAGATAAATACAAGATTTAGAATGATCAACTGTAACATAAGACAATACCTTTTTTCTTGTAATGATAAAGAGAGATTTGATCTCAAAAAAGTTTTCATCCGGCTGCTACCTTAGAAAAGTACTTCTTAAAGAAAGACTTTTGGAGTAAGCAAACCCCTCCTCTAAAAGTTAAATAGCTGTTAACAACTAAAAAAGTTGGAACAACTGAGAAGAGATGAATTCAGCATATGGTTACACATAAACAGCCTTGGCACAGTGGTTAGAGTTCTGGCTAAAAATCCAGAGATCCGAGACATTATCCCAATAAGCAACATCGGTAAGAAAGGAGGAGTAAACTTTCTAGTTAAATGCTCTTCCTCGGTGCTCTGTGATAAATATGTAAGGACTTCTGTGATAAGTATGTAAGGACTTCTGTGATAAGTATGTAAGGACTTCTGTGATAAGTATGTAAGGACTTTTGTGATAAGTATGTAAGGACTTCTGTGATAAGTATGTAAGGACTTCTGTGATAAGTATGTAAGGACTTCTAGAAGCACATTAATAACTTCCAAAAAGTGTTATTTGTAAAATATTGTTGCTATAAAAGTAACTTTAATTTAAAAGTAACTTTAATCTAAAAGTGTTATTTGTAAAATATTGTTGCTATTAAAGTAACTTTAATTTAAAGCTTTAAACAGAGTCTTTAAAGTCTTTAAAGCTCTGCTTAACATATAGTATAAATGTAAAAACTTATGCAAAATGTATTTGTTAGTGTAAGCATTAATAATAAAACATCAGCAAAAAAAATTATTTACTACGTTTGTAGTTATTTACTGGCCTAACCAAAACACAACAATACTTGGCAAAATAAGCCTTTAAATTAACTTTACCGTTCTCCAAAAAGTATACAAAAAATATTACTTTGTCTACTTTTACTTTTTCAAATCACGTGTACAGCGCAATTAACACTAAAGGTTATAGCATGCTTTTAAATAGTTTACCAAATAAATCAACTGTTTCTTAGCTACTTTCTAGATAGTACATTTTATTATATTCTTAGCATTACAAAGTGCTAGAAGATTTTAAGTGTATTTAGCGAAATAATTCAGTCTACTGTTATTCATTTCAATAAACTGTTTGATGTTTTTTTAATGTTAATTTTGTCAATTTTTTTTGTGTGTATTTTAGCAGACAAGATGTTTGCTCAGATACACAACAGGTGATTGCCTCCAGTTTATGACCTAACCCATGTTTTGACTCTCCTCAGTACAATAAAACTTCTTTCACACGATGGTGTCGATTTAGTAAAGTTTCATTAATTTGTGTGTTTGTTTATTGGTGATTTTTGCAGCTGGCGTGGCATTGAAAATATCTGCAAATTGTTTCCACTTTAGAAACACTATGTATTTTAGTTAATACAATAGCATCACTAATTTGCATTAGTACAGGTTAATAGTTGTTGGTAGCTTCTTCAACTCCACTTTTAGTTCCATTATATCAACATCATTAAAAAATAGCATTTCAAAGAAAAACGGTGGGAAATCTTGCTTGTTCACCAATAAAATCAAAACCTCTTTATATTTCTGTTATTCATTCTGTTCAAATCTCTCACTCAAACTCTTCTGAATAGCAGCAATTGCTTCAAAATAAGATTTCCTCAATTTTTTTCAAGTCAAAAAATCCAGCATTCAATATCATACACTGTAAACAATGTATTATAAATACATCTACGTCAGCCTAAGAGATGAAGAAGGGGTGCGAAGCTGGTCAATAGATAGAATCTGTTTACCCGATTTACTATTATTTCGAAGTTCTTCAACGTCGACTTATTTAACTGAGTTGTTTCTAAGTTGCGACACGGCAGCTTATTAATTCTGGGCCTTATTTTTTTGTTTAATAAATATTTTCAAAGTTTGGTTTAAATTATTTTAAAACTGTTTTCTTTGTAAAAAGTTAGAAAAAAATGAATCTACGCCCACTTATTACTAGTTAGTTGCAGTTGGTAGATATTGATAATAAAATGTTAATAAAAATATTGGAAAATGAAATGCTTTTATAGCACAAAAATTTAATATAACTTTTTCATAGAAAGGGCACATTCATGCTATCTTTGCAAACACAGCAAAAAAGAACAGGAGCAGCAGCTGTTACCCTAGTCTACCCTTTTTCGGGGTGCCTGGATATCCTACATTACAACTAGGGAGCAAAAAACTCAGTTTGAGTGGTGTATGGAATTTACTAAATTATCTAGTTTTACAAACGTTATCCCAATGTAATCCAATACTAATTTAGTTAAACATGCATAACGCCAACGTTAATCAAATAAGCAATCACTGCTGTCAATGCAACTCTGCAAACCTGCAAAAAAGTGTCAGGGTCTCAAAATATAAGTTCCAAATTCAATTTTACTCCGATAACAAGTTCCGCGACAAAAAATTTGCTGATTTCAGCTAACGAATGTTCCAGCAATAAACAACAAATATGGCGGCTATGCAAGGAAGAGGAATGATCGTGAGTTTTTATATCTTATAATATCTCTAACATCTTTTACAATTTTTTATCATATTATTTCTTACAATATAATAACTGTGATGTGGTTATTGTAAATTGAAATATTCTTTGTTGCAAAGTTGATACATTTAAATAACTCAAATCGGTGTTAACACAAATAAAAATATAATAAATCCAGTGGACAAATTAGTATTCTTAAAAGTCGCAAAATTCAAAGTAAAATAGAAAGTTGTAATAAATCTGAGCAACTCATTCTTTTTCAAAAAAGAAATAAATTACTATGGTTGTAAAACTATCCATGTTGAAATCCTTGTCATTATTTATACGTCTTAATAGCTTCTCCAACGAATATAGAGATTTTTATACTATTTTAAAGTCTGCCAAAACGTTACATGAAAATTGAAAAAAAATGCTACAAGTTCGAAATAAAATAATTAAATAAAGCAGTAGGATTTTCAATTTGCTAATGTTAGTTATCCAACTCTGCAAATTATTTTTCATTACTATAGATTGACTTAAACTGTCATTTAATACAGTGGATTTCAAGCATAATAGAATTAAGGAGCCATCTAATTGTTTTTATAATTCTATGATAGGGGAAGACAGGGAACATTTGACCACTTAGCTGGTTTTTATTAATTTACAAATGATTTTTTACCAAAAACATTTAAATTTTTTTAGCATTACAAGTAATGATCTTAAACCAACAAATTAAAAGGATAATGTATATAAAACATTGATTTTTGTTAAATCTACCACTGTTTTGAAAGTAAATGTACCCCACAGGTGGAGTACATTCGACCTCCTAGAGGGGTACTTTCGAACATCACTATTAACAAAATTAATCTATAAGCTTTCTTCATTTCTTATCATGCCCTACTGAGGCCAAAAAAGGTGGTGCTCTTTTATATCTGCAGTCTAATTTAAATTATGTAGTTCGTCATGACTTAAAGATTTACTTACAAAAATTACTGTTCTGTTTTTGTTGAAATCATTAAGCCACACAAAACAAATGTCCTTATTGGTTGTATACAGAGGGTTACAAAAGTGTTTGTACAGTGAAATATTTTATGGGAAATCACTGTCACAGATAAGAGAAATGCTTTATATTCCAAAATCTACGGTTCAGTCTATTATAAAAAAGTTTTCTACTGAGGGTTCTGTTCAAAATAAACCAAGAACTGGCCGCCCAAAAATCCTTTCGGAACGAACTGAGAATTAGTTGGTACGAAAAATCAAGATGCAGCCTAAGCTGAGCGCTCCTAAATTGACTAATGCTTAAAAAAATAAAATTTTCATAGAAGAGTAGCGAGAAAAAAACCCTTCATTTCTAAGAAGAATAGAAAAGCACGTTTAGAATTTGCTAAAAAGTATGTTTCGATGCCTAAAAAGTTCTGGGAGACTGTAATTTTTGCTGATGAGAGCAAATTTAATTTGTTTGGATCAGATGGACGTGTCAATGTTTGGAGAAGACCTAATACAGAATTAGAAGAGCGAAATATGGTAGCAACTGTCAAACATGGTGGGGGCGGTGTAATGGTTTGGGGCTGTATGGCAGCGTCTGGGGTTGGTAAATTACATTTTATAGAGACTGCCATGAACGCTCGTGTTTATATTGATGTCCTAAAACAAAACTTAAACCAAAGTGCTGAAAAATTGGGGCTGACTGGTGTATATAAGTACTACCAGGACAATGATCCAAAGCATTCTGCTTTTGATACACGGCTCTGGATGCTCTACAACTGTCCTGGAGTAATAAAAACACCAGCTCAAAGTCCAGATCTCAACCCAATGGAACATTTATGGTCAGAATTGGAAATCAAACTGCGTAAAATTCAGTTCACTAACAAACCACAGATGAAAGTTGCTTTAGAGAGTGCTTGGAATTGAGTCAAGAAATCACAAAAAAACTGGTTCATTCTATGCCAGATCGATTGAGAGCTGTTATAAAAAGCAAAGGAAAAGCAACTCGTTATTGAAATTTGATTTTCTGATACCTTTCTTGACACTTTTTTGGTTTTTCTGAAAGATTTTTATATTGTACGAAGACTTTAGTAACATTTTAAACAAGACCTTTTTCTTGTATCTAGGTTTTTTAAAGGGGTTTTCTGAAAATATATTATTTTTCGTTTCATGTTGCATTAATTTTGATCTATAAAGTACATAATTTCACCAAAATAACTTGAAAAAATGTATGAAAAATAACTACATTTATTGAAGGATTCACTGTACGAACACTTTTGTAACCCTCTGTATATCGTCATCCATCAATGAATCAAAATGAATTCAATACAACATTTTTAACTCCACTTCTTGAAAGGTTAAGCAAACAACAAAAATTGATCTTTTTAATGGGTGATTTCAATGCAGATCTGTTGAGCTTTAGTGAATCTAATCCTAATTCCAACTACCTTGATACCTTATATTCTTACTCATTTAATCCTTCCATAATCTTACCTACCCGTATAACAACTAAATCTCAAACACTTATTGATAACATCTTTATGAACTTCTACTCTTCTGATCATCTCTCAGGTAACCTAACTATTTCTATCTCGGATCACATAGCACAATTTGTTTGTGTTCCTGGCACATCCAACCAACCAAATAAAGTTAAAATTTCTAGAAGATGTTTAAAAAAACTTGACCCTAACAAGTTTATTATAGAAATTTCTAAAATCAACTGGAAGCTTATAATTAAAAAAGATGAACATATTAATGAATCCATCAATAAATTTTTAAAATCATTTAATAGGGTTCTAGACCTATAAAACTTTGACTAAAAATCAAATCAAACTTAAATCTAAACCCTGGATCTCTAAAGGCTTACTTAAATCTATCTCTGTAAAAAGCAAACTCTATAAAAAATTTGTAAGATGTAAAAACATTAATACTAAAAATGAGCTTTTCACAAAATTTAAAAACTATAGAAATAAAATTAGCAACTTATTAAAAAGTAGTAAAAAATCATACTACATAAATTATTTAAATAACAACATAAACAACATAAAAAATATATAAAAAGGCATAAAAGATATCATAAATATTAAAGGATCATTACATAAAGCACCTACTCAGCTAAATTTGAATGAAAATATTATCACAGACCATGCCACTGTTTCAAATATATTTAATAACTACTTTGCCTCTATTCGTGAAAAACTACTCAATAATATTATGCCATCAGAATATACTTATAGTGAGTTTCTTAATTTTCTTAATGCTAATTTTTTCTTTATTGATCCTGTTAGTGAAGATGAGGTATCTAGTCTTATTAGTAATACTCTTAAAAATGATAAAAGTTACGGACCTAACAGCATACCTACATTTTTCCTTAAACTTACCTCTCACATATATAAAATAGTTATACTTGTATAACTATATAATCATATAATCATATGAACCATAAGTTTCAAGTTTATAATTTTGGAGTGAATTAATATTCATAAATTTCAAGTTTATAATTTTATAATGCTATTTATTAATATTCATAAGTTTCAAGTTTATAATTTTGGAGACATAATCTCCAAACCTCTTAGCATTATGATAAATAATTCTTTTAAAAATGGTGAATTCTCTGATATTTTTAAAGTAGCTCAAGTCATTCCAATTTATAAAGTAGGCTCCTTACTAGACTTTTCTAACTATCGACCCATTTCCCTTCTTTCCAACCTAAGCAAACTTTTTGAAAAGGCTTTGCATAACAGACTATTTAAGTTTCTAGATAAATTTAAATGCTTGTACCAACATCAATATGGATTTCCAAGCAAACATTTTACAACCCTTGCACTTATTGAAATTACTGAGAAGATTAGAAGAGCTCTAGATAATAAACACTTAGCATGTAGGGTGTTTGTAGATTTGTAGAAAGCTTTTGATACTGTGGATCACTCCATCCTTCTCACAAAACTAGAATACTATGGAATCAGAGGCATCCCACTAAAATGGTTTACTTCATATCTCAAAAATAGAACACAGTTTGTTTCCATTAATAGCACTTAATCTGATTTACAGAATTGCTCAAATGGCGTCCCACAAGGTTCAGTTTTAAGACCACTTCTTTTTCTTTTTTTTATTAATGACTTGAATACTCCTTTTAAATTTGCAACTGCTTACCATTTTGCTGATGATACTAACATGCTACTGGTTGATAAATCGCTTAAAAAAAATCAACAAACATTAATCACGATTTTGGAAATCTTGTTCAGTGGCTTCGTCCTAATAAACTTTCTCTCAATTCTAACAAAACAGCTTATCATCTTTAAATCCAACCTGGCACCAATTAATAAGCAATTAAATTTCAGACTAAGTAGACAAAAAATTTATCCTTTAGACTCCATTAAATATCTTGGGATTAAAATTGATTCTAATCTTTCTTTTCAAGGCCATCTAAATGACTTAGCAATGAAACTTAGCAGATCTAATGGAATGCTAGTCAAAGTCTGCCGTTATGTAAATCTAGAAACTCTGCTAAATATATAACATGCTATTTTTGGGTCCCATCTAAGATATGCATGTCAAGTATGGGGACAATCCCATAAACAAATCATTTTAAGGTTGTCCCATCTCCAAAATAAAGCCTTGAAAATAATATATTTTCAGTATAATAACTCTAAACCTAATGTACTATACCTAATCTCTAAAATATTAAAAATAAGCGACCTTGTGGTATTCCTCAACTGCCTAATTGTCTGGAATTATCATCACAAAAACATTCCCCTATCATTCAACAATTTCTTTTCAAGTACAAATTGTCACTATTCTCTTCGCTCCATCAGTAGCTTAAACTTAGTTATTCCGAAATACCAATCTGCTAAATATGGAAATAAATCCATTAAATATCAATGCTCATGGAACAAACTACCTCCTGATCTAAAATCTCTTAATTCAATCTCTGAATTCAAAATCAAGCTTTTTAATTATTTGTTAAAAAAATACAATTAAATATTTCTACAAACTAATATTGACATTCTTTACTATATATGTCAATTCGTAATCCTTCAGTTTTTAATTTGATACTTTTAACATTTTGAAATTCTCTACTTATCTATCTACATCTTATTCCTCTGGTTTTCTATCTGCCATTTTTAAACTTTATTATTAAACTATCCATACTAATATTATTAATTTTAGTACCAATGGGTTGGCATTCTTTATTTATCTATCTATTTATCTCTTTTCATTCAACAATTCTCTATTTCTCATCTTTCTCAACTTCTACTTCTTACTAAATCTTTGTTGTTGCCATCACTATTTACTAAATTTTTGTTGCTGCTGTTATTGTCTTTACTTATGAAATTCTTCTCTTATTATAATTGTTATTATTTCGTTACTATTACTATTATTGTTATAATTATTACTATTGTCGTTGTTGTTGCTATTATTGTTATTATCACAATCATTGTTATTATTGTTATTACTATTATTGCTATTATTGTTATTATTAGTATTATTAATAACAGTTATTATTATTACTTTCATCATTGACTATAACGTTACATTGTATATTGAGGTATTAACTTTATATTAGTGCTTGTACTATTGTAAATTTCCTTGAAATGTTATAACTTGTTTCGAAATATATTTGATTTGATTTGTACAATAAAAACTTTCCTCAAAATATTTAAAAAAAATAGTAATAGCTGTTTTACAACAAGGTTTGCGAAGTTATATAGAAATAAAAATGACGTTGCCATTCTTTCCGTCTTTGTTGGAGTTGCATGACTTTTCCTTTTCGGAAGTGTTAGCATATATCGTTGACTTGATTTCCTCTTTATTTATTTTGTCTTTGAGAAGCTTTAGGCAAGGGCCGCACATGTTCTGGAATCAGTTTTTAATTGTTAGAGTTATTCTAGTAGTTGCAGGAAGAATGCGTTTCATTGGTAGGTATGAGTGGTAAATTATTTTGTTAAGGTGTACCTATTACTCCTAGATTTTCACTTGGTTCTCCCATTTGGGTTCTATTTGTGACATATCTGGGCATGAAATATTTTTGCAGCTTGTGTTTCAGACAGTAAATTATTGAAAATACTAGTAATTTTTTCCAATACCACATTTTCATTTTTTTTATTTCTATATATTTTCATTAAACATTTTCGAGGTATCTAAAAGATAAGAGAAATAAATTATCGTGGTATTATCAAGTACCGGTCAAATGTTGCCCAGCTAGGTAGGTCAAATGTGTGCATTTGTTTATATATAACACATGCTATATATAAACAAATGCTGTTAAAAGCCAAAATCAATTTTTTTAAGTAAACCAAACACAAAGGTTTTTAACTCAAGATATCATTAAACAATAAACAACAAAAAAGTTTAGGAGGTTAAAATTGGAAAAGAGATTCTCTGCAGATTATTTAAAACATAAAAAAATTACCTTTTGCATCAATAATTAGATTTTCTTCTAAATAAGTACTAATACTAATAAAGATGGATCAACACTTATTTCCCGCGATAGCTTATTAACAGACAAAGCATGGGTAAAAATTTTAAGTGGTAATTTTTATCAATTCGATTTCCCAACTTATTTGAAAAGGTCAAATGTTCCCCCTCTTCCCCTACTCATTTTAGTTTAGGTTGGTACAATCTGCAAAACAGTGCAGATTGAGCAGATCATTTATATGGTGGAAATGGCAGAGCCAATAATGAAATCAACTGAATTCTCATTAGAGACAATATTTTAGATTTTAAAATAAACTGACTTCTTATAAGTGATCTGCCAAATAATTGGACATTACAATTGTTATAAATATATTGTATTGTGATCAACAAATATGCTATGAAAACGATGTTTGTATGTGTGTATGTTTGTAAATATAAAACTAGTGATGGTATATTCTTTGTACCATCGACCTCTAATCAAACGTGATTCATTGTACCTAAACATGGGGAAATCCAAACAACCTTATACTAAAATGTGGTTTGCTGAATTATTTGGCAAATCACATTAGAATACGGCTGATAACTTTTTTTTTATTGGTAATGCCTTTACTATCTTAGCCATTCCACATGATTTTTTCTATATACAATTAACATGATTGTATAGAGTTATAAAAATCTTAAAAAATGAGGGGTCTTTTAACTTTAGAAGTAAAGTTAATCTGAAGTTATTGCATTTTTTGTGCTGGAATAACTGATGATTTTTTAACAAAAGGTTTCGTACTTAAGTATGCAAAACCAGCTGTGTAATGGCACCCAAATGCAAAAATCAAACCAAGCAAGATGCAAAGAAAAAAAAGCATTAACACAATTTCTATATATCAAATCAAATAAAAATTGTGTTACTAGTTTATTGGAATCATTAGATATAATTACAGATGCTTTAGGAAGTACTTGTTCTGTAAATTTGTTATATTTAGATTTTGCTAAGGCATTTGATAAAGTACGAAATACTAGATTAATAAGAAAGATTGAATCATGGTATTGTTAAAAATGTTTTAAAATAGGTAGAAGATTTTTTACATAACAGAAAACAGCAAGTTATTCAGGAGATTAAGTATTAAACTGGTTACAAGTTATTAGTGGTATGCCTTGGGGCTTACCAGTTTTAGGCCCACTTTTTTTCTTAATCTTTATTAATGACTTAACTGATAATATCCTCAACTATATAAAGTTGAATGCAGATGACAGTAAAATAATAGATGGTATAAAATTGGCTGTAGATCCTATAAAGCTGCAAGCGAATCTAAATTATTTTATGGAATGGTCATTAATCTGGTTAACAAAATTCAATTATGATAAATTCAAGAAAAAAAATTTTGGCAAAAATTCTTTAAACCTTTTATGTAATGCATAATTCAGATACATATCAAGATCAAATTTTGACAGTAACTGATTTTGTATATGATCTTTGTGTCATAATTCAATCAAATCTAAAATGGGAATTATAAATTAATGCAGCAAGTCCACATCTTGAGCATGCTCTACAGATTTGGTGTCCTTATCTAAGTAAGATAAAGACAAAATTGAAAGAATTCATCGTAGAGCAAAAAGTCATACCATCACTTTAAAAATCTTCTTACAAAAAACGATTAAAAATGACAAATTTGACGACCTTACAAGATTGTAGGCTGTGTGGTGATTTAATCCAACAATACAAAATTAAGCACTGTCTAGGTATTATTAATTGAATTCAAAAAAATAAAAGTTTCATATATGCTCTTAACCTACGTCAGCACAAATATACTTTATGTAAATCTTTTTGTAAAAGCAAGTATAGATTTAATCTCTTTAACAGAGTAACTAATCCATGGAATAACTTGACAGATGAGGTTGTAGAAGATGAGGCTAGGTCGTAGAAAATAAAGCTAGGTCGTAAAAGATGAAGCTTTTGAAATTATCTAGTTATTACATAATAAACTGTAATGCTTTTTTAAAGGCACGGTTATTACAAAAAACATTATTCACTTCATAACAAACAACACTTGTTATGTATATATTCTTGTAATACTAACGTGACAGCCATATGTTTGTGGCAAGTATAAAATCAATATTTTTTTAATGAATAAACAGATGGCTTGCTTATAAACCAAAACCTTCTGTAAAAAGCTGTTTAGAGGAGCTGCTTGCTGTGTTCGTTTTAGGAGAGCTTTCCTTTGCTCTTGTACTCATTTATTCCTGCCGAGGCCTGTGTGTGTATACATGTATGTAAATATATAGTAAATAATTATTTTTATTAAAATTATTGACAAGTTTTAAAAAATTAAATCAATCTTTTCATTTATTGATTATTATTTTGTTATTTAGTTTTAAAGTCTTTTAATTTTTACTGCTATTTTGCTTAAATAAGCATTTTAAATGCATGTTTTATTATAGAACTAATATGCTCACAAAAGCGTGTTTTATTTTATAATGATTAGTTCTATTTTAATAAAGTATATAGATAAGTAATGCAAGCTTTCCCGGGAAACACACAGTTGCATGCCTTGTTTGTCCATGTTTGAAGTAATTTTTTTAGACAGCTTGACCTTGTTTTTATATAGTAGTTTATATAATTTGCAGCAAAAAAAAAAACTGTAAGAAACTACAGTGCAATACTGGAAGAAAGGAAATTAATACTATATGAAATAGAAAATCTAAATAAAATAAACTTAAAAAAAATTAAAAAAAAAAAAAACTTTCAAAAAAATATTAACTAAATATTTTGCTGTTTTTGATTTCTTTTTTTAAGGGTGTTAGTTATTTTCCAAAATTGATACAGGTCAAGGAAAGAATATAATGAAAATAAAAACATTTTTTGATATACAATTTATTCTCAACTTTTGTCAGTCAGTATATTAAAGAAACACCAAAACTTTTTTTTTAATTTTCTTTTTTTCAAAATATTAAATTGTTCTAGTTTTTTAAATTAAAATTTAATATTTCGGTACAATTTTTTTGAATTTTTTTTTTTCTCTTTAGATAAGTTTTTTGACACAAATAAACATGTAGAAAATTAAAAGATGCAAACTGCCGTGTTCAGTGTGTCTGAAAAAATTACTTTAAGCGTGGACTAATAAGGCGTGCGACGGCACTTGTATTTCAGGAAGGCTTGTAATGTGTTTAAAAAATGATCTTCTATAAAAGTACTGTTTAAAATTGCTTTTAAAATAATTGCTTTTAAAATAATTGCTTTTGTTTTTAGCAACCTCAAATAATTCTACTAAAAGAAGGTACTGACTCTTCTCAAGGAATACCTCAATTAATAAGTAACATTAATGCTTGTGAAGTGGTTGCTGATGCCATTAGAACAACTCTTGGTCCACGTGGTATGGACAAACTTATTGTTGGAGGGAATGGAAAATCAACTATTTCAAATGATGGTGCAACAATTGTTAAGCTATTAGATATTGTTCATCCAGCTGCTAGAACTTTAGTTGATATTGCTAAATCACAAGACGCTGAGGTAATTATATGTATAGGTTTTAGTTATGTATCAATCAAATTTATTAACCAAGATAATGAAGATATGAAATGGTATAAACAAATTAAACTTTTGATAATAACAAAAATTATTAAAAAAAAAACAAACTTGAATAAGCAAAACAGTTTTCTGAATATAATTCAGCTTTTCATTTTAACATCAATGGAGACTGCAAGAATCTTTAAGCTAGACAAAGCTTTTAATTATGGAATTCTTACTGTTCTGCAACGAAATCAAATAGCTTTTCAGCACTGCTCCATGCTAACACTTAAATCAGATAAAGTGCATTATTATATGCACACAGACTGTCAGAGGTTGGAAATTTTGTTGTTATGGTGAAACCTTTGTATTTAAAATTTTAGCCAACTAAAAATAGTGTTTGTGTTATATATTTATATATATATATATATATATATATATATATATATATATATATATATATATATATATATATATATATATATATATATATATATATAAAGTAAAAAAAAAGGTCTCATCTAACTTAAGCTTCTATTGTTTTAGCAGGAGAATCAGGAATTTGGGCTTGTAAAATTGTATTAAGTTGTCATCGAGTGTGATTATGCGCACTCAAGATAATGTCTGAGAGAGCTATCAGGAATTGATGCAGTCAAAAATTTGTGAAGACTGTGCTCATAAAAGTCTTCCATTTGTTATACAAAATTATTTTATTGACACACTTTTTTTTTGAACCTAATCAGGATTTTTTTAAACTATTCATGGTAAAACAAACACACAACTAAAAAAAAAGCATTTGTTCTTATTGATTTAGTATTGAATTGATGACTTAACTGTTTGCTTGTGTTTTTTTAATATACTTATTTAATTATATTATGTTACCTTTATTAAGAAATGTTAATGGTTTTTGTATTTCTTGACATTTTTTTAATTGTTAAAATCAGTTTTTTTAAAATTAGTTTATGTTTAATTCAAAAAAGTTTTTATCGTTAAAAGTTTAGAGAAAATGCAAAAAAATTAATTTAAAATTCTTTTTCAAAACTATTTTAGTTTTGATGACTAATGTTCATCACAACTGTTGTCAATGGCAGGGTTGGTATTAAAAAATCTGGATTTTTTTTAGATACCTTATAATTTTGTTTAAAACTGTTTAAGCTGAATTCTTTTTATTAAAACAAATAATAAACATATACCAAGAAAAACTAACTTTGTAACTGGTATCTTCATTTTAGAGTGATTTTTAAGTCTTTGTTTTTTTGTTTTTTTTTTGTTTTTTTTTTAAGCAAACTACAGAGATTTTTATTGAAGCATGTTTAATTCTAAAGAACTTTAGTATATGAAGTCATTGTAAATTTTTGATAAGAAAATCTAGAAATTTTTTATATTTTTTTATTCATAAATTACTAAACAATTTGATTATTTTATTTTTATAATTTTTGCATAACTCACATTTAAAGTATAAAATCTTTCTGATATTTTGAGCTTGTTTATTGTTTTAAATTGGTTTTGTGTTTAATGTTATTAAATGATTAATAACATTAAAAACAGAGGTTTTTGCAAACCCGACCCCGGCTAAACAAACACAATTTGCAGGGGTTACTAGCCGGGGCTAACAAAAATAAATTCAACTATTTTCTAGTATTTATCAATTTCTTTACATTTAAATACTTGAATAGCTCAACTATGTAATTCTAATGAATAAAATTACAATTAAAAAGTTACTTACATTTTAAATGTAAATGCAATTTGACAATAAATTTATCTTGAAATTTATTTTAGGATATTTTAAACACCCTGATTGTTAGCAATTTTTAAATATTTTTTCAAATTTTAACTTTGTTTGAAAATTTCAAATAATCAATTTATTACATGATGGCTACTGACTTTTCTAGAATATCCAGGTTGCTGGCTTGTTTGTTCTTTCATACGGAAAGAACAAAGTAGATCAGATGGATATATGGTGTCTTTAAAAGATAGGAAAAAAGAGATAGTATGAGAATAATAATAATGTGTTATCAGAGAAGATGATAATGATGCCAATGATTAAGATGATGATGATCATTGTCATCATCATCATCAGAATCATCTTAATCATCATCATCAACTGTATGCTTTATGATGATGATGATGATGATGATGATGATGTAGATAATGATGATGACAATGAGATGATATATATACCTTTATATAAAATATATCATGAATTTTAAATAACAATAATATATTTATAAGGAATATCAATATTAATGCAGTCTCGGTCACAAGCCCAGCTCTGGCTATTTTTTATCAAACCCGGCCCCGGTCCCTTACTACATTAAATATCACACAAAACCGATTTAAACCAATAACACAGGTTTGCATAAAAATCTATGGTTTCTTTATTCCAAATTACAAAAGCTAAAATTAAAGCAGTAATCAGAGCGCAACAAATCTTTTTTTTTTAATGAACGTTAATGTTCCCATTTATTGGCAAACATCTAGTTTAAGAGATATGTGTCAAATAAAAGAGTTTTATTTTCAAATATTTTGTATTCTAGTTAATAAGTTTTTAGATATATCAAAGATGCTTATTGAATAAAGTCGATTTCTTTTATTTTCAAAACAAATTTTTACCTATTTATAAAGTGCACCCAAATTAATTATAATTAATATGTAATGACCTAATGATTGTAAACTGTTATCCATTGATGGTAAATAGTGAATTTTTCTAAATTAGTTCGTTAAATTTAGCTACTAATATAAAGATGCGTAAACTTAAAGAAGTTAAAATAAGATGAGTTGTTTTGACTTTTTTTTTTTAACTAATAATATATCATATTTAATAATAAGTTAATAAAAATGTCATATTATTGGTGTTGTTAAAGGCACAATAAAAAATAAACATAATTCTATATATTCTTTTAGATTATATATATTTCCTCAAAACTTGAAAATTCTTTTTAAAACTTGTAAAAGTTAATATGCAAACAAACATTACTTAACTTTTAGGAAAATAAGAAAAGTTAAAAAAAAGCGCACTATAAAGTAAGAATTATAATATTTAAGCATGGTTTCTTTTAAAGTAATTGCAAATACACTCATTTTAAGTCAAATTTTGCATGCTTTTGTTAATACATGCTAAAACATATTTACTTTCTTCAATATATGCTTAGTTATTTTACTTAAAAGTAACACTATTGAAGAAAGTAATCATGTTTTACTATGGTTTCTTTTAAAGTCTTAAAAATGCATTTCAAGTTTTAGTAACTAATTTTTTTTTTATTATAAATATGTGTTTTTTATAATAATTTGTTATAATTAAATAAAAAAACTATCAGTCACATAATTATTTTAAAAAAAATTGCTGAAGTAATGCGTTCGTTTTTAACAATTTTAAGCTAACACCAACATTTGCATAAGCTAAACTGAAGAAATGTGACCTTTGTTTTTCTGTCCTTTTTTTTAACAAACATTTTTCGATTTATCACGCCTTGATAATGATATCAATTACTATAACTGGTTAGTAAATGTAGTAAATTACTATAACTGGTTACTTAATTTAAACTAAAAATTGTCTTGTTTGTAATTAATCTATTTGACATTTTTTAAAAAGTATTTCTGAAAGATTTTTTTTATATTTTATAAATTATATAGGTATGCATTTTTTATGACAAAATGATTAATTTTTTTGGCTTTGTTTTTATAGACAACAACTTTTTTAAACAACAAAAGTCTCTTAAAAGGGATCCCAAACTCCCAACACATGTTGTGTTCTTATTAAAGACTAGAAAAAAGCAACCCGTAATACGGGTTTTGGTCGGTCTGTTACATAATTAATTTATAGTGGCTGTTTTCCACAATTTAATATTGCAAAACCTTAACTAATACCCTTTTAGAAAATTGCCTTCAGCTTGAAAAAATAAATCTATCTGTAAAATTAACATAAAAAGTACGAGGAGGTAAAATAATTTACAAACTACTACTTAATATTTACCATTACTACTTAACATTGTTTGAGTAATTTACAAATGGCATAGTTCATAACAGTGTAAGGCAGAACCATTTTCATCGACCTTCCTAAGTTTAACACAATACTTTTTTAGTTACTGGCACAAAATAATAACACTTTATGCTTTATGTCATGCTTTAAATTGACGAATGTATCAACGAAATCCTTGTAATAATTTTTATAACACGAACCATTAAGATTAAAATAAAGTTAAAAAGAATAAATTATATTATACAGGAGTTATCAATTTTTTGGTATCCCCTTGATTAATTTTTCTTTAAAAAAGAAAATTGTTAACTTAAAAATGTTTAATGCGCACATTTAAATAAATTTATTATAAATAACTAAGCAACTGAGTACAAATACATTTCAAACAAAAAAAATATAATTTACAATCAAGCATGGGTGTAATAAATTTGAAAAAATATGTAAACTTAATGCATTAATGCATCATATGACAAACCTAAAATAAAAATTATAACAGATAAATAGACATAAAAATTTGTAAACCAAGCTGACCTGACCCGGGTCTTGTTAAGTCTGTTCAACACAGACCATTTCTATATTATTTGTTTGGCCTCTTTACTTCATTAATTTTTAGTAAACGGTATTTTGCCACCATTTACTAAAAATTCCTTTGTAACTCGAAATTTAATTTTCTTAAATAGTTTGACTCTAATAAAGAGGTTCCTCCCCTCTTTTTGCTTTAATGGTGACCAGGTGAATAAAATAAAATAATAAAATGTAAAACAATGATCTACATATATAAGAATGTTTTTTTTCTTTCCTCAAAAGTGTTGCAAATACAGGCTAAGCTAACTAATTAGTTAAACACATAAATAAAACTTGAGTAACTCGATATTAATGCGCAAAACTACAATATTCTCCATGTTTTTAAAGGTTTTTAAGTTACGACCCCCCATTTACAAAGATCCCCTTAAAATACGTACAACAAATTATTAGGCATAAAATAGATAAAATGTAAAATTAACTAATAGCATATATTTATATCTTT